CCTTCCGCTCCACTCCTCCCCTGCAGCTGCGCCCGGGGCCACGCCTCCGCCACAGGGACATATACACATAAAGACAGAGAGGGACTTGGGACAGAGACACAAGGAGAACCTGAGTGGACAAACATGGGAGACCGAATGAAACATAAGGACAGAAACATGTAAACAAGAGGAGGAGATAGGAGACAAAGACGTTACTGAAACACATGAAGAGCGAGGGGGACTTAAACAAGGGGGCAAAACCACAAGGGGACTCTAATAAATCTAATAAATGACAAAGTTGGTTTGTGGGCTGTTTAGGAATCTTTTAGTTTCCATTTCGGCCACTGCAATGCTCCTTGTAGTTGGAAAGCAAGGTGTTTCTGTGTGATATTGAAAATGATGTTATCTTGGGTCAGATATAAAATTAGTCAAAGATCTTAGAGCACAGAGTCCCTACTGGAAAACCGAATTGGAAGCTCTTATGTCCACAAGACAGCTACACATCACATAAAAAGGCCATAGATAGTTGGATACTTTATTGATCTCACAAGGGAAATATTTGTGTTACCGCATCATGATAAAGAGTAATTAGGCCTTGCATCCAATTATATATAATGTTAGGCCTTAAGGGACACGTTAGATAAAAATACAGAAATTAGCAATAGAAATCAAAACAATATTTTTTTACCAGTCAGTAAAATGTTAATTTGTGCTCTACAGTTGGGGCTTTTAACATGGGACAATACGTGGATTGACTTGCTTCTGAAGCCAGCCCCAAGTGGTCATTAGAGGAACTGCAGTTTTTGAAAGTTCAACATTAGTCACCGAGGACCTTTTGAGGAGCTCAGCAAGCTTGTAATGTGAAAATAAAAATTTATTGTCCAGTGTTTTGTTTCTTCTTTTCTTTAAACCAGATCTAAACAAATAAGCATGATCATTTACGAAGCAACAAAACAGTCTTTAATCTACTCAAACAGGCTAATTAGATCTCAAGTATCCTCATGAGCCAATCAGTGTCACTGCACAGCTTTTGTCACCAGTCTGTGTTATCATGCATCAGCTTTGTTTGCCCCATTCAGAACAACACTGAGAAAAACGTGGTTAGCTGAGACCAGCCATCTCCAAAGTCAGGTTTCCTATCCAATAAAACCATTTTTTCATCTTCCGTCTAACAAACTTTGTCTTGGCACCGTGAAATATCCACTGGGGTGGTGAAGGGGACGTGCTTCACAGTCCAGGATTGAGGACAATCCTACACATTACAAGTGTTTATCAAACACCAACAGCTTCTTTGAGCCCTGAAATGCAGGCGCATTATGCTGGAGGGAGAGACCCAGAAACATCAACAACAGCCAGAGAACTGTGGATGTTATGTAAGCTGAATCAAATTGATCCTACGGGGATCGACTTGTTGGGCTTGAGCTGCGGTGACATGGATGAAAATTCAGGCATAACAATCTGTAAGCACTTGCAGAGGGCAAATCACTGCTGTAGTCCTTGTTATTTTAAACTGTGTATTGTGATTGTTGGTTTAAAGGGATCCCTGATGTGTAAGAATCTATCTATCTATCTATCTATCTATCTATCTATCTATCTATCTATCTATCTATCTATCTATCTATCTATCTATCTATCTATCTATCTATCTATC